GACAATTTACTAAAATATATTAAATGGCAATGATATTCTTACCTTATAATCTGACTTCAAATACTGCTTGCCTTCCTTTAAAGATTCTTCCCACATGTTGGCAGTTTCCCTTGAAAGCCCACATTCTTGGAARCGTCCGACTACATGAATTAAGTCATCAAACGCTTTACCGCCGTCAGCAGCAAAGTAGTCGAGCCCCTGTAAGGACTTTCTCACTGTAGCAGAGCAAGCAGATAGGATTCTCAGCATTGTGGCACGACCAAAGGGCTTGAAATCACTCTCTTCGCAGTACTGACGATACTGTTCTACAAGGCGACTGGGAATCATGGTGCGGATTACATTTGGTGTTTGAAGAACTCTGCCAGAAGAAAGTCGAAGGTATTGCTGCCCAAAAGGAAGATCTTGTATCACATGAGAACTGGTTATAAACGTCAGGAAATGGTCTAATTGACTTGGGCTGACACGCATTCTCGTACTTTTATTTTTCTCAATAGGTACACCACGACCATGGTGACGCTGATGACGACGAGCTATTTTCACTTGGTACTCTGTAATACCAGGTATAAAGTGTTGAAGCCTTGTATGTGATACCAGGTCTGCCATGATTGAAAGAATTTGTCGCTTCGTTTCCGGGGTTTCCGCATTCTGGAAAGACTCCGCAAGAGCTTCCAAGAATTTTCTATCAGATAGCGATTCCTCAGCCATTCCTAAAGCTTTTTCTACACTGTTGGAAGATTTGAGTGCCTCYCATAACTGGCCGGCGTCCCCTGGAGCAATGACATTGAACCCAGCAACCACAAGATCTTTAGCTTTAGAGATGTGACTTTTTTTAGTCCGCACACTCGCTTCTTYCCATTTTTTCTTATATGGACCGACCTTTGTGGCCGCGTCACAGCAACTCAAAAATTCGTTCAGCTTCATTCGTTGTTTACTGAGACTATTCTTCCTTTGCAAAGCGTGGGAACCATTTGAACTCTCGTTACTGCAGATGCGGATGTGGGTGGGAGGTTTTTTGGCTCTATTTTGTTTTTTGTGGTTACTCCGTCTATAAGACGGGTAACCACTTTGTTATCGGTTTGTGAGTCCGTAAGTAACACTATCACGTGATTTGAAGGTCTAAATACAACCCAAACAACTGCCCCCTGCAATTGCAAACTGTCTCCCCCTGTAATTCACCATTACTGCCCTATTAAAATTTTAGTAGCAACAAAGACACAGCACATCAAATATCAATTGTGATGAAAAACCACAGTATATATACAAGGATTCTTAAACTTGTTCTTTGATGTGGGTTTTCGAATCTGAACAGTATCCAATCGTATGATCTCGTGTRAATGAATATGCGCAGTTAGCATCGTTATCACACATGTCTCCACCATGACGTAGCATTGGCATGGCAACTAGCCAACGACGCTAACAAAGAAAAACGCTGGCTCAGGAGACAAGATTTTCCACGTGCTCAACTTCGTCGCTGGTAAGTAAAAGTAAACTTTGTTTTTTATATTTTTTATCTCTCTTTATCTATCACAGATTTCATCCTACAGCATTAACTGTAATGACCAAAGTTTTTTAAGTGTTTTTCACAATTTAGTCCGATCTTTATGTCCGAATAACAGGATAATTCCACGCTCGATAGCGATTGTAATGACGAATGTCAATTCGATCAATGACAATCATAAAGCAAACCAAAAGACGCTAGAAAAAATGAYTTATAACTGCCAAAAACAAATACAAACTGGATAAACCTGTTTGTGGGTTAAATCAACCTCTTGAGGATATACTAGTATCAACCAAAACAGGGAGCCTAATTACAAGAACTATTTGCATTAAGTTTAATATTCATAATGAAGTTTTAAGTTTAAAAGGCCTTTTAACTTAAATGATACAACAGCTGACTAAGACATCTCCATTTGCAAATAAGAACAAGTATTCACTTAATAGTATTTGTTGGTTCAGAATAAAATAATATCATAAAGAGTAAGTAATTTCAACTATCAAAAAMCTTTCACAATTACAGCGACTTTCGTTGCATCGCGCGGAACGATTTTTCTCAGATTTTTCTGGAACAATCGGTTTGGGTTTTTCTTAGCCGTCAATCACATGCCGATGGGCGGAGTTAGATAAATTACCATAACAACGTTGCGAAAATCACAAAATCCACGAGTTCTTCCTTTGACAGCTAGTTGTGGAAGTCTTTACTRTACTAAGTATAAAGTTAAATTGCAAAATGTCAGAAACAGAAATGACAGAAATTGTTAGCGTACACGGGGTGCCTCTACCAGATCTCGAAGAAACCCAAATTTGGGACTTAGAAAACGAAACGGTAAGTCAAAGCTTTTTTTAGAACATGTTCACTCGCTCGGCTTTCTCCTTTCGGTTCTCTACAATTATTAAATCAACTCTACACCTATCTTTATCCACGTACAGAGGGAAGTTCGCCTATATCTTAAGACAGAGAAGAATAAAGTGGATGGCCCAGAACAGATTGGGTTCATTCTCCCACACAGATGGACCTTTGACACWTTGAAGAAATGCATACAAGACTACGTAGAGAATCGAATCGGTCTTCCAGGAAAGATTATTACATAAATCTACTACAAAAAGAGCGGGAAAAGTCGCACAGTAGTTCCGATATATTCTGACTTTGAATTATTATTTTCATTATTATTTTTATTATGAGCTTATATGTCAAAAGAAGGAAATGGGGGCTTCTCATGGGCGGGGTATAATACAGTATAATTGATATTTTATATTTTTATTCAGYTTTCCCCAATAAAGTAACAAAAATAAATAGTAATCCTCCAAATTGAATAACGCAAGTCCAGTCCATATTTATTTACTGGTATATTGATACTCTTTTTAATATTTCTGGAAGAAACACCTCGTCGCTCACCAAGACTCCAAGTAAAAGAGACAGCAGTTGCACCAGTTATGGGTGTTTTGTTATTTGAGGTCAATACGACTGGGAAAGGTGAACCCAAGTTATCAAAGACAACGACTGYCCTTCACAGTGTAGCTCAGGACTGTGACTTGGCTGATCTAAAAGCATTAGCGAGGGCTCATGATTCAGCTATTTTTATCCCTGCTAATGGTTTCTTTTGGCTCTGCAAGGGAACAAAGCAGATGGTGAAGCTGAACACTGATGCAGACCTAGAGAATTGTAAAAAGGAGTACAGGGCTAAAGGAACATTGCAATCCATTCGTATAGCCTGTTCCTCCATTCAAGGTATTACTGCCAATTTTTAAACCTAATGATAAACAATATATGTTTGCAATACTTTGCACTATTTATTACAAAATAGTCTATTAGTTGTATTGTTTTCTATTTTTCACAATTAAATATATTTCAGTTTTTCATGGCTGTATTGTTTGCACTCTAAACAAATTTTATGATATTATAACATGTGGTGATAGCTGAACACAGGGATAGAGGGAAGTGTTAGGAGCACACATAGAAAGGGAATGAAACAAACATGAATATCTTTGTCATAGGAAATAATAAATCACAGAAGAAGAGAAGTTTGCAGTTTTCACCCTAAATGAAGATGACTTGAGGGATTTTGACCTTCAAGAAGCATTTGAATCAGCTGGAAAATCCAAGAAAACCACTAATGATATGTGGAATGACATCCATTGTGACTTGGTCAGAGAGCTTGAGAAGAAGGGTACTATCTCTAGCTATAATGTACGACACTTGAAGCTGTGGACTGATTTAATATTAGAAGGGAAGTCTGCAGGGGTAGGAGAAGACCCAGAATGGAAGGACCATGTTGATGTCGTTGGAGTTCCACCACTCAAACGAAAACATAAAGCTTCTACTGTAAATGAGCAGCAAATGACAGACAGTAATGACGTACTGAAAACAATGATAATCCAGAACCAACAAAGTACACAAATGTTCCAGACATCTCTCTTGGCCATATTGGCTAATTCTCAGGTAAGATATACCAGAAACCTATAAGGGACTTGAAACGTGTAACGACGTGCCAACCGTTGGAATGTTCAAATCTAATTTATGGTCTAAATATGKTCATAACRTTCGTTTTCGAATTTTTAATGAGCTTTGAATATTCCGACGCTTGGCACTAAAGAAATGTATGGGCGTTACACGTTTCAAGTCCCTTATAGGTTTCTGGATATACTCGACAATGATGCTTATTACTAAGCCTCCTCTGCAATCATCATCTAGTTTTGTCTAGGGTAGTATTCCTCAGGTACATGTATCTTTATTTTTTAATGGTGTGTATGATTACATGCTCTAAATAWATGAGAGGGTACCCTTTGTCATTCATTACTATAGTGAGCCTATCAAGGCAAAAATAAATAGGAAGTACTTGCAGAAAAGGCTAGTCATGATTTATTGATTTAGTTTCATATGTATGTATAATATATAATGTTTTGTACTTTCCAGAGGGTTCCTTATATGCCTCAACCAGAAGTATGTCCTTCATCCTTTCCAGTTCAGTCTAGCATTAGCCCTAACAAGACAAATARAAGGATGGAACATTACACTCCCTTAGATTTTCAAAACTTTTTACACACCCACAACCTCAGCAGATTAATTCCCTTGTTTATTAAGGCAGATGTGGATGGCCCACTGCTAGTAAGTCTCTGTCATCCCATTTTAGAAGAAGTATTTTAGAAGAAATGGGCATTTGTGCAAGTGACAGAGAGGTAATTGTAAATGTCATTAAGACTCAGATTGCCCTGGAAAAGTAAAGTTCCTACTTATATGGTGTTGTCGCAGAGTTAGTTAGTTATTGGATGCCATTGTACTTTGTTTACATTTATTATCCATATAGATAGTTACCTGTGACACGTGTACATTTASAAATAGCCACTGTCTCTAAAAAATCCAGTAGCTTGTTGCTGGGTGATCTATGGGAATGTTATCAAATATCATTCATGCATTGTTGTTAGTTAGTTACAGTACATAAAATGAGATAGATTATGTTTAAGTTCATCCATTAACTGTTATGTTTGTTGYTGAATTCATAATTTCAATTCACAGACACCTTATCAAGTGCAATGTCAAAACACCATTTTGGATGTTTTATGCAAATGTCTTTGTTTCTTTTGAGCCATGCTTTGCTTGTCCCAAATGCCTCCTCGATAGGGTTGAGATCAGGAGAATAAGGTCTGTAGGAAAATGGATTGTTATATATTTTTTAAAGTTCATTATTAAAAATAAAAATATTCCTACTTTAAAGCTTGTCTTTCATAATTATTAAAGGCCGAGTGAAGYACAATTAATAAGTAATAAAAATTGAGCTATTCAATCCTTTATTGCATTTATTTCAGATATTGTAGGTTAGGGGTATTCTGGAGGTTCATTAAAAAAAATATATTTTTATTGTGATCACAAATATCTTTATTCTCAGCACAAGTGCTCCTATGTATTGCATGATAGTGAATCAAATTCTAATGAATAAAAAAATTGATGATGCCAACAGACTGATAAACTTTACATTGTTCTTAATGTGGGCTACTTACGGSAAGAAAGCAACGATTCCACCTTTCTGTCTTATAGCTTCAATTACTTGGTCTGAATTGTGAATGATGCAATTGTCCATCACAACAACTGAACAGCGTTCCCTTAAGGCAGCAGAACCCACATGTGGCAGAACAAATGTATTCATTGCAAATTGAAATTGTTCTTGATTAAATGCACCCAAAATGGTGTGACTTGTATAAATGCCTTGTAAACCCAATGAACTCAACACACTGTATCGAGTACCTCTTGTGAAGTTGCCCTTAACCGAGATTCTTGAGCCCCTCAAACCATGTATGTATCTTCTCTGAAATTAATTGATAACAAACTGTCATTGCTAGACGCCTAACCATTTTACCTCCTGTTTCATATTACCAGTAACATGACAATAATATAGTTTTCAATAATTATGTGCACCTAGAAGTGTATACAGCTTATCATACCCCAGTGTGCCTAGCTTTGAACTTACTGGATGACCATCACTATGAATTACATCAATTTAGACGGGATTACCTGGAATGCTCTTTCATCTTTTGATGATTCATCAACAAATAATAATTGGTGAGTATCAAACTGAGCAATAAAACGACGAAACTGAGCCCTTCTTCGTTCATCTCTTTGTTGTGCCACAAGGTTGAGCTAGAGTTACATGTAAAGTACGGTAAGCTTACATTTTCTGTTTTTGATTGAGCAACATTCAGTAAGCTTCAACATGGAATTGTAACTACAAACACTAATTCAATGTCCAACATCTTACTAACTTACTAGTACAAAATAGATGATAAATGACAATTCCTTTGTTTAAGTATTGTCCAATCAGACGGTATTTACTAGTAATAAAATTGTAATATTTGTTTCACGGATGAAGTGAATCCACTATAATTGTCTATTTTTTTCTGTTGTGTAAATAATAAAATTTCCTGTAAATAGTGCAAAGTAAGGTTATTGCACACTTTAGCTAGTGTCTTTAAAGTAGTGTCTCTCTTAAGCCACAAAAAGCTTACATGTAAGCACAAATTAGACATATAAGACTTAATGATGCAAGTCCAATAATCATGCAAATTGCTTTGTTTTCTATAAATTTTACGTTGCACTAGTGTTTATATTCTATAACTAAASAACACATTGGGGTTTTCGGGTTTATAATAAACATTTAACACCGGAAAACTTGTGATAATCGCAGCCGCAACGGCCGTAATTTCTTGTACCTTACATCTTGTCCAGMCCATTTTCTTCCATAACCTATGAATTGACGAGATGGCTTATGTCCAGTTAAATATTCTAACCATTCCTGCAATTCGTCCTCGTATATTTCAGGGTGCTGCCTCACAAGTGTTTTTATGAGTTGTATTTTATGAGCTGCCGTGGTAAAGATAAGTAAGAGTAAGCTTAAGTTAAGTACTATAACTCTTAAGTAAAAAGTTCATTAGTAAGCTTACAGCCCCAACAATTCGGAAAGATAAATAAATATTATGTATAAAGCTATAAATATGCTATAAAATGAAGACCTACCGTTAATGCTTTTGAGCTTGACACGTCTCCGTGGATATTCTACAGAATTATTATTTTCGAAGAGCTTCTTGACCTTTCTCACAAATGTCTCGCCGACATGCAAAATTTGCGCTATCTCTGAAAGTGGTCTGCCTTCCCTTATCATATACACAACTCTCCTTCTAAGTTCTATAGGATATTCTCGAGTCATAATATATATTATGAAAAAAAAACAATTCTTCTTGAACAAATCTGAAAAGCTTTGAAGAACAAACTCGTGGATTTCGTGATTTTCGCAACGTTGTTATGGTGATTTATGTAACTCCGCCCCATCGACATGTGATTGACGGCTAAGAAAAAACCAAACCGATTGTGCCAGAAAAATCGTTCCGCGCGATGCAACGAAAGTCGCTGTAAATGTAAACTRMAGTACATTATTGATGCAAGATATTCCACTCTGATGGACATAGCATAAATACTCTATCCTCAATGATTCATATTTCTGATCACTAAATTACATTAATGTAATGAACTTTGGTTAAATTAGTAACTGTTTTCTTAACTTCTTTTCTCAGGTACACCTACTTGCAGAAACGTTGTCATAGAAAATAGAGCATTCGAATTTAGTAAATAGGAATAAATTAATACAAGACAAAAGAGGGCGTTCAGCCTCAGTGATCTTTTTTTGTCTTTTTAATTTATTCCTTYTTACTAAAATAGAAATGTCCTATTTTTTTATGACAACGTTTTCGCAAGTAGGTGTATATGTATTACATTGTAATAYTACCAAGAATAGCTCTGCAGTTGAGGGAAATGATCCCTTTGAACAGCTATCAGGAACACACCAAGCACATACAACTATTACATGCAAGATTTTTACTCGGGGTTCCTGTGGAACCGCCGAGTTTAGGTTTCGGCCTTCTTTGTCATGGTAGTCGCATTTGGTACACAAATTGTCTCGGCCAAATTAGAATGCACTGGGTACGAATCACGTGACATTCACAACTTCCATGTGCTATCTTCTGGTGTCGTCGTCTCGAGGTGTCGTCTTTATACGAGATGGAAGACATGAATTCAACTTCAAACACGCTCAAATCTGTTACAAATCCACACACCATTCGCCGTATAGCCACACTAAAAGCGTTTTTCGAAAGGGCATTTTGAGAGATACCGCGAATTTATCTTGAAATTTATCGTGAAATTCGAACCAATCTTATCAAAAGCGAACTCTATACTAACTGATTCTACAGGCTCTGAAAATACAAAGGACTTCTCTAAGGAATGCGAACAGAATTCACTGAGGAAAAACCGACGATTGCAACTATTTTATTTAGCAGAGATGATAAAAGACTCTGTCTTTATAGCCTGCCACTTGACTATCAAAGTGAGGAGAGCTTGACAAAGACTATCAATTCTTCCTTAATGCTAACTACGTTGCTTCTGTTATTATTTTTCATTYAAGGAAATATTTTTTGCTTTACCCTTATGATAGTATTGATATTAACTTTATTAGGGTTCAATACAGTCCAATTCTTCGATAACTACACTCAAAATATTGTCACTTCATCGTTTAGTGATTGTGATATCTTAGATAAAACTATTTGTAGCGGAGCTCCCGCGCGGGCCGAAGGCCCGCGCGCAGCGGAGCACCATAACTAAGGAAAAATGGTAAACCCATGGGCTTGAGTTTTGATCAACCGACACAGGAAGCCCAGTTGTCCTTCCGTACGTCCGTACGTCCGTGTACATCGCGATTCTGATTGGCTACTAGCTTTTGGCGGGAAAAAGAAGCGCGCTCGCGTAAATTTTTGAAAACAACTTTTTCACCAACGACGAAAACGACTCCATTTTTCTTTGAATCACTTCACTTCTGAGCCAAAAATGTCGAAAATCAACGGGTAGCTAATGGAAAGCGATCTTTATCTGAATAACAAAAGACAAGAAGAAGAAAAAGAAAGCGCCGAAGAAGTCTTAGTGAAGAACAACACACAACGTGACTGAAGCAAATCCAGAAACAAGTGAACGCCAAAGACAACGATTATTGAGGGAGAATTTCACAAAGAGGAGAATTGACATACACTACATGTAGATCTATTCTCCAACGATACAGTGGCGGTATGTTAGATTATTATATGACTATTTAGTATGGGAGCTGTCAAGCGGTTTTTGGTGCTCAAAACACAAGCAGTTTTAAATTTGGTTTTGAATTTGAAAATCTTCACCTGAACACTTCAAAACTTCTCAATTAAGCTTAAATCAGTTTGTTGGCAATGAAAATACGTGTGAATTTTGTGTGAAAGCTACTTTATAATCTTTATAATGCATTTTAAAAAGCTGATAGAGACTTGATGTTTATTTGAAAGTTCAGATTTTTGTTATCATTAATATGATAATATCACTGTATGATTGAGAAATATCAACAAAAGAATGTATTGATGATTATTGTTATTCCTGTGTTCATGTTTCCTGAATGATTGAAAAACCATCAAAACTGTCAAATTGCATTAATCAATCATTAATCTTTTTTATGATTACTGTATGATTGAAAAATATCAACCACCAAAATTGTTATTATTTATCATTCCTGTGTGATTAAATAGAGGATATTACATGGTCGCATGGAAATATTGTGCTCACTCGATGGATATAAATTCAAAACTTCAAGATAAAAATTATATCTTCAAGCAACATGTAATGTTCTGTTTATTAAATGATTTTGGTGTAAGCAAAAAACCGTAACATAATCATAGAAGATCAAAAAGTTTGAACATTTGATTTCTGCATGATTGAAAATACCAAAACTGTTAAAATGCATTTACAGTATATTGTTTTATGATTCCTGTAATGATTGAAAAATTCCAAAACTGTCAAAATGCATTTAATATTAATTTATAATTCCTGTATGAAAAATGTCAAACTGTCAAAATATATTAATAATTAATATTAATTTATGATTGCTGTAATATTAATCTACTAGAGTGAACTCACTTAATCCGTGAAAGTTAAATAGTATATTATATATAATAATTTTAAATAAGCTGAACTCCTTTATATTTTATTGTCTAATTAACACTATTTATTATCAATTAGTACTATTTGTTTCACGGATTTAGTATGTCCATTCTAGTAAGGATGTTTTTAATAGAAAGATTAATGTAACATAATTATACATGGTGTACTCTTCATAATAAATTGTGCGCTATTTGAATGTACACAACATTACAAGAATTCAAAATGAGTGGTTTTCTTTACATATTATATATATCGATCACTACTTTGCACCGACAAAGCTGAAGAAGAAAGAGTTTAATATTTAATGCAGTGCCATAATTAGTCTTAACAAAACACATGTAGTCTGACAAATGTGTTTTGCATCACATCTTCATCCAACATGCATATCTTTTGGGAGCTCCGCTATTAGGTTTTACCTAATTTTTATATGACTGTTTATGGTGTATACAATGATGCAGAAGTTACAATAAACATTACAAGTACTACAAGATCTCGTTATTCAAGGTTTGTTTATTATAATTATCGACATGTACGTTGTAGTCGTCAGTCGAGAGCCCATTAGGATACCAAAACGATTTCTAAGACGCTTACATAACAAAAGTAGAAAGCTAAGATGGGTTGTTTATCGACTTTATCATCGAATCTGTCAAAAGAGGTTTATCTTAATTTTGTCTTACATGTAAAATGACATAATAAGATTGTTGTTATTGTCTTGATATTTGTTCATGTTCTTTTAATAATACGAAGTTGGCGTAGACACAGTTATTTTTTTAATTTCTCTAAATGACTTTTAAGTTATTAAAACTGTSATATTTATATTTGAGTTTCTTTCGTTCTCTCCCTTGCGTCGAGGGTTTTTCCGGGTCTTTCCGGGTTTTCCTCCCTCAGTAAAAACGAACCATTTCTATCTGCTGTGCTCCGCGTTCAGTCGTTCGTTGCTATGTAAAGGAAGCGCCTAGCCGGCAGCACGCCTATGTGTAAGTGTATGTAAAAATGTGTCTGTAATATAGCACTTCGACTTGATAGCGCGTCGAGCTGCGTCTTTCGCAATTCAGCACCCGTGCTGCCATGAAGGACGATTAGCACCCAACACACCTTATATTACTGCATATCATGAATTGTCTATCAAACTAGCTACCCATCTTATCAAAAGCGAATTATATAGTAAATATATGGCAAACACGCAAGTGTAAACGAGCCTTACCAAATTCACTACTATTTTATCAACAAGAACCCCGAGTTTACGCAGTTATGCGTCTRGTTACAGTAGAAAAAAAGGCTCATTCCTATTGTGCAAAAAAACAGTTGTACTGTCAAGTGTTAGTCCATGATACTATTGATGCATCCCAGATGTCATTGTCACTTTATCCATTATGCACTTAATTCTTTATGAGTCCTTAATAAAATTATTGAAGACAACTGAGTTTTTGTCAGAAAAATTATTGGACCTTGAACCAAACATCATTAAGAATATGTTTATAGATTTACAATAAAATGTAAAATTTAATGCCAACACCAAAATTGTAACACTGTAACATGCCTTACATCAAAATAAGCCTATTTTTGATATTGACAAAGTCCATAGTGCTTTATCATTTCTGTACGCAAAACTGGAAAAAAATACATTTCCGCCATCTTTTCCATTTCCACCTATTTCCAAAAATAAAACATTTCCAAACTTATACTAAATTTGCTCTTTCTCTATTATAAGGTTTTTCCAATTAGGTGAATGTCTGCCCTGACAGCAACACATTACAAGCAATTCCCAAAATATCAGATCTTCAACTTAAATTACTTAAATATTCTTTCCTACACATAGTAAAACATTAAAATCTAAAAATATTCATAACAAGCAGTTTTTGGAGTAACCACAAGCGCTTTTTAAGCGCCTTTTTTTTTCAGAGAAAGTTTTTCTTTGTAACGAAGACATCRCAGATCATCGATGCTCTGCCCCTCCTTCCCATTATACAATAGGACGAGAGCATTCTCGCCCGCTTYTTGAATGGTTTCTTTAGTTGAACTATGGTCTTGAAATACTATTGCGTTTTCTTTAAACTGTTGTGAGCTCACAAACTTCGTTAAACTTGAGCCTTTGCCGTGGACTCTGGAGGTGGTGTCGCATCCAAGCACAGCATGTATAAAGAGGATGTTATGACATACGTCTCTTCCAAKGTCCAGTTTCACTYTCTTKATATTCCA